GTACGCTGGATCGATATCGCAAATACCGAATACCGATATACCGCAATCAGAATACCGGTAAATACCGGTATTTTTAACGTGTTTTTTTTAAGCCAAACTGAAGTGCTGACCGTCAAGAAAAATCAAGTTTTGACAAAATATTAATGTGGCACATACTGTTATTAGTGCAAATGTCACAAGATTCGCATTATCAAGCTATGTTAACAATTAACAGCGCTAAGCGGCAATTATTAGTAGGCCGTCGATTGGGCGTCGAAGTGTTGAATCATTCAGAAAAATATTCGTTTTGTATATAAAATCAGATAGTGTTTCAGTAAGCTGCTAATAGTTATAAACATAAACTAGGTTACCCACAGGGCAGTAATGCTGCCTTTGACAGCAAAAGACAAACTACAGGGTGTTGAACGAGTCCTTCAGAAACATCCTATTATTGTTTAGCCTGCATGGCAGGCGGTTCCTAAAATTGGGCAAGCCTGGGAAATACCGCCTGCCATGCAGGCTAATTATTGTTATCCTTGTTAACCCATTTATTGGCAGTACCCTACCACTGACTGAGTATTAAAAATCGTCTGGCGTTGGACAGGGTAAATACTAAAGTAGGGGTCATTACTGTGCTAATGAATTAACAAGAGCCATTGGCAGATAGGTTTGTTAACCCATTTACTGGCAGTACCATATACCACTGACGAGTAAAATCTTCTGGCGCTCGACAAGGGAAGGGCGCATTGCCAGCTAATGGGTTAAACCACCGTGGTTAAACATAAGATTTCATGATGCTCCAGGAAATGTAAACAAGCTATCAGTGTGACATCCCAGTTTATATATTTATATACTCGGAATATTGATTTCTCGGTACATACAAAATTATTTTAAAGTATAACAACCAGCGAAGACGTAAGGCACTAACTATCAATATTTTCAAAAGCGGCCAATTAGACCAGGGGTTAAAGGGCAATGACAATGACATGCAGGTGACATTTAACATTGCGTCTCACTAATTAAAATTTGCGTGTTTAATAGTGTTTATCAAAGAAAGCAAAAATATATACAAGACAATCTCACATGTGGAGTTTTTTCACTTACAGGACGTACTGCCTTGTGATGCAGTACAAGTATAAATACAAATGACAAAGCATTTATTGACAGTACCCCATTTATTTAACCCATTTATTGACAGTACCCTACCACTGACTGAGTATTAAAAATCGTCTGGCGTTGGACAGGGTAAATACTAAAGTAGGGGCCATTACTGTGTTGATGAATTAACCATTGGCAGATAGGTTTGTTAACCCATTTACTGGCAGTACCCTATACCACTGACGAGTAAAATCTTCTGGCGTTGGACAAGGAAAGGGCGCATTGCCAGCTAATGGGTTAAACCACCATGGTTAAACATAAGATTTCATGATGCTCCAGGAAATGTAAACAAGCTATCAGTGTGATATCCCAGTGTATATTTTTATATTCTCGGAATATTGATTTATCGGTATAAAATTATATATATCGGCATGTAATTATATATATTATATTTATCGGTACAAAATTATTTTAAAGTATAACAACCAGCGAAAACGTAAGCCACTAACTACCCTGCGCGGCTGCGCGCAGACTATATAATGACATATATATGTCATCCGTCCGGTCCGTCCGTCGCCATCCGTCCGTCCGTATCCGCGTTTTATCCTAACCCGTTTTTAAAACACAAAGTTTGCATAATTAAGGCAGTGCGGTTCGTCATGATCAACATTTTCAAAAGCGGCCAATTAGACCAGGGGTTAAAGGGCAATGACAATGACATGCACGTGACATTTAACATTGCGTCTCACTAATTAAAATTTGCGTGTTTAATGTTTATCAAAGAAAGCAAAAATGTATACAAGGCAATCTCACATGTGGGATATTTCCACTTATGTACTGCCTTGTGATGCAGTACAAGTATAAATACAAATAACAAAGCATTTGTAAATTCTAAAACATAATTAAAAAATCATACGGCACATTTAAGATTTTAATAATATCGTATTTCAGCCGCGTTTATACTGTTTGGCGCATTCGCTGCGTTATATTCATTTATATGTATATACACAGAAAAGCGTGTCATTGTCCTTGCAGACCATAGGCAAAAAGCATTTGTCAACCATGCACATACCTTAAATCATATACATGTCATGGAAAGAATATGGAAATAATGTTGAATGAAAGCTAGCATCGCGTATAATATTAAAAGCACCGCATATAGTGCTCGACGAACCACTGCGTATAATTGCAAAAGCATCGCGTATATAAATGGTGAAAGCACCGCGTATAATACTGGAACCACCGCGTATAATGGCGAAAGCACCGTGTATAATGCCAAAAGCACCGCCGTATAAAAGCACCCAACAAAATGCCGTTTGATCACTTTAAGCCAGCTATGGCTTTCCATAAAAGAAGACCAAAGATGAAACATGATCACATTGCCTGTTTGCCTTATGCCTGACCGCGCTGCACCACGGTTAAAATTCACTGGTACCGTCATGCAATGTGCCAAATAGAAAATTTTGATTTCGACCCACAAAACAAAATTAGGATCTGCTGCCTTGCTCGCTCGCTTCAGGCTCGCTCGCTGCGGCAGCAATTAACGTTAACATCTAGTGTTACATTTTGACCCATGCATGCTTAGTATACAGAACCTATCAAGTATCATGCTAGGATTTATGCGAAAATATTAAACGACCATTTCAAATGGTTAGCAATAACTCGTCTTGTTTAATATAACTATCGTTTGGAACTAGTTGATATTTTATTTCTGAATCGAATGGTGGTATTTCTGTCTTCATAGCATGCACTGAACCGAAAGTATGAAATTTCGAGCCGTCGATCGCTATAGCGGTCGACGAAAATTGGGCCTGTTGAGAAAGAGTTAAAACATACCTTAGCTGCTTGAACTGATTAAATTTCCACTAGCTGGGCGACGCGGAAAGCCACAATTTTTCACCCGGCACAAGTCGACAAACATCGATAACGACTCTTCTTTTTAAAGTAATCGTTTCGTCACTGGTTTTCCTTCAATCTATTTGACTTGAAACACTTCAAAAGCAACGCCCAATATAGATGTATAGCTTATAAAGTTTATCTTAAATTTGGTAGTGTATTATTGTTTGCAAGTTTGATACTTAATTTTGATATGTTACTGTATAATAATTAGTCATTATATATATGAGTGGGCAAGACAATCGAAAGGCATCTACTTATGGCAGGAAGCCACAATACCTTTATTCAACAACCATGCATGCACTGAGCTGGCGAAGAGTGGGATAAAACATTTTAATAATGTACTGCACAGTGCCTTATAAGAACTTTGTCTGAACTTTTTTTTCGTGTATTCAGAAGAAATTATGACAGAATACTATGCGTTGAACAAGTAAAAGACTAACACGAGTTCATAATTGTACTACGTAAAATACAAATGCAGAAAGAAATAATTTAGACTTTATAATGAAAATGAAGAGGCGGTTCAATTTTTGAGAATTTCTTGGCTTTGAGAGAAATATGGACTTAATTGATATACAAATTAGGTTTATTGGGGCAATCAAAACTGGCGAAAGGTATAAATTATTCCGTTAATGTCACACAGTGTATCTTTCTCGAACCTATAATGGTCTGATTTATAATAGGTTTATGATTTGGAATAGAAATTAAAATTCGACGGTTTTTCGATCTTTATCTGATATACAAACTCTTGGCTTCGGCTCAAGTTTGTATAGATAAATATCGGCTGCTCATATTTTAACTAGTACTGAAATTTAATGTAAGTAATGAAAACGAAAACATGTGAAGAAAACGATGGGATTTAAGAAAATGACATCATTCATCAGTTGTATCATGGATTTAATAAAACCATGATACAACTCCGATTTAAAATATTTTCTTTCTTTGGATGCTGGTATTATTACATTACATCAGCTCACTTCACAACGGGGGCTTTTCAGTGACCAATTCGATTTCATTGAAGGCTACGTGACTAATGTCGAAACTATTTATCTTTACAACAATTGTAATATTCATTTTCTAACTATATATGTTCATCCTGACCCACCCTGTCGACGTTCCTTGTGGGAGGAAACCGAAGCGCCCGGAGAAAACCCACGACGTTCGACAGAGCTGATTAAAAATATTATAATATAATATATCTGAAGACTGCTATTGTAAATTTTAAAATGTTTAGTACCAAATGAATGTTACTGCCTTGTCCATCAACTACATCGGGCGGTTATAAAATAAATTTCTACACTTTCGAGTCGCTCTTATAATATTTCCTCATGTAAATTTACAGTAGGGCAATATGCATGCATATATTGATCATGCACTCGACAAAGCATTTCGACCGAAAGCAAGTATACTTATCTCGTGGTCTTCATATTTTCATAGACTGTCTGTTCTTTTTCTATTTGTCTCTGAGGGAGTTTATACCTTTCATGATCTTATTCCGATGTCCAATGAGAGTGATTCCGATTGTTATCAAATCTTCATTGGTTTTTCAAAGTTTTTTTTTTTTTGGGGGGGGGGCAATGGATCCCTGCCTCATGTTTTGTACGCCTATGTATATGACTACCTTTGATTTGTTATGCTACTTACTCCGGGCTTGGCCTTTCAAAAATTATAGGGGAAACAAGCCTACGTCTCGAATTTCAAATGTTAACCTGCGAACGGGCATACTCATTACGGGCTGTATGCCTGCGGAGGAGGTAGCTTGTTATGGGGGCATGCGTTGTGAAAACAGGAAATGGGCAAAACTTTTAAATTGACTAAAATATTAACACATTAATTAAGACTTCTATATAGCGCAAATTTTACATGTGCCATGATCAAATGCGTTTGATGAAGTGCTTAGCCTTATAAAACTGTCTGTACCAGTGGCAGTGTTGGTAGTACCAATGTGAAAATGCTGTGCTGAATAACCACTCAGCACAGCATTTTCACATTGGTACTAGCAGAAACTCGACGTTTCGAGCGAAGGCCCTTCGTCAATATAGACTATTTTATCTTTTGCTCTCTACTTCCGCTTCGCTCCCAAACATGTTGAAAAGGAAACGGAACAGTAGGGGGAGCCTGGCAAACTGAAAAGCTTCATTAGTTAATTGAAGTGAGACCAGTGTATTCTGATACGTATAATATATTATAATAAAATTCAAAACAAAAATGTGAAATCAGTTAAAAAGAAAAGTTGGAAAACCTGTCGGAAAATTACCTAAGATACACACCATGGAGTAAATAAAACAACATGTAAATTTAAAGTTATATTTTGATCTTTTTACTTTTTTTTGTATACAGCTATTTCAATTAAGGTTGTCCCCCGAGCAAAGTGGAAAAGTCGAATACGAGCGCGAAAGCCTGCTGGGAATCGCTAATAAATAGTGAATTTATTAGCGATTCCCAGCAGCATTTCGCGCTCGTATTCAACTTTTCCGCTTTGCTCGGGGGACAACGTTACCTTAAGTGAAATTATAGCTATATATATGAAAACCAAAACTAGTTATAGCTTCCCACTCCTTTTTTATTTAATAAAAAAACTTTGTTGCCCCAAAAGCCAAGGCTTATCCTGCAGCTGGGCTCACATTGCATGATTTTACAAATACTGATTTTTAAGAGTAACTGAGATGTTTTCCAAATATATTTACAAATTTGAACACAAATAAACAAATTTAAGACATAAACCACACAAAGATAAACGTTTCCAAAATAAATCGTCCAACTCTACTAAACGGCATCAAACAATTCAATTTCGCTGACCCTTTCAATATACATTTAAGTTTTTTTCGTTGTCGCTGCTCACTATAGCCATTCTGTTTGACCACAGGGCACAGTCTTGTATTGTCGTACAGGCATTTCGGTTAATCGGTGCCCCGCGCGTGTTCACAAATTACGCGCATGCCTATAACAATTCGTGTAGGCCTATATAGCCCGCGATGTTTCACCAAAAACGGCTTAGCAGAGGAGAGATGATAACTTCCAATAATATCATCTTTCACCATAATGGAATCTATGAAAATGCATTTTTGAAAAAAACAATATAATCGAATTATAATTGGGTCCACTGTAGGTTGTCAGCAATCAACCTCGTGGTCCTGAGTAATAAGCTCCGTCATTATTTGTATTCGAATTAATTTCGAATGACCTGAAAAAGATAGACATAAGCTATAGTTTGAATCTTTCGTTCCGAGCATCGAAAGGTTCGATCTTTTTCAGGTAGTTCAGACAGAAACCCTCAGTTTTTCGGACAATATGAGACCATTACAGTTAGTGTTTGGGTCATTCCCAATATAGCCTGGGGAATTCACCTGATGTTTGTAAACAATAATTGACCATGTGTGACCGCTACACCCAGCTGTTGAGAACATAGCAACAAATACTCAGCACAGTCGAAAATTGTTTTCATACAAATTAACCGCATCCTGTATGTAAACACTTGTATATTCATGCAGAAAATCACACGTGTATGAAAAATGGTGAGAACTGGATTCAGAAACCTGAATCGTTGAGGATCATCAAATTTAAACTGAACTATTGGTGACCTTAAATCACCCGTATATATACATAAACAAAAAACACAACTTTCTTTAACCTTGCTACGCATGGGAAGATCGACTTTCATGCATATACAGGTAATTCAAAAAAGGTTGTCCTTTGCAAACCTTAAACTCTAAACCTTAAACCTTGAGCGCGCAAAGCTTAATGGGGGGGGGGGGCACGAGTTTCAAGCTTAATAGTCGAATATTGCAGCTTTTGTGAGTGACTGATTGTTTTCATAAGGAGATATTTACCATGTCTCTAAGAAATGGGCCCCATATATGAATTCTAGACTGATTAAATCATGCTCCCCGATTATGATTTGCCGCTTAGAGTTTACACATGGCCGTACACAGCGGGGGGGGGGGGGGCAACTGCCCCTCATAGGAAAAAAACATATTTACGATTTTTAGAATGACTTATTAATTATTTGCTTTTCTGAAACTTTCACCTCTGTTCATATTAAATAACTTTGTGTTTTTAATTTAAATCAAGGATCACACAAGAGGTTTTTGATAATACTTTTATTTTAGCTACGTTTCGGATAGTTTACTATCCGTCCTCAGGCTAACAAATTGTTCTTACATTTGACGTGTACAACTTTTAAACGTTCATCTTACGCAAGCTAATTCAAATTAAACTGCGTGCGCGCACGCGCGCGCTCGTTTTCCTTAATAAAGTATTTGCTTAATATTGGTCTCCAAGTCGTCAATGATTCAAAACTGTTTAAAACTTTCTTTTTGTTATGCCTTACCCTAAGAGACTCAATTCCTTCTATAACTTTCCGCTGTCTTAATCTATACTCATTTCTCAATATTCGCGTGTTCTCCCAGTCTATTTCTTCCGTACACTCTATACTGTGCCTTGCTAAACCTCCGTCTTCTTTCCCCATTCGTTCTTCTGCCACCGCCATTCGTCCATTTCTCATATCCTCGTTTGTTAATCTTACTTTGCTCTCGTGTTCCTTCTTTCTCACCTTAAACAACCTCGCCACTTGGCGAAAAACAAAAATCTGTTGTTTACGAGA